AGATAATGAAACAGGAAGTAGTTGTAAGGATGTTGACTCAGGAAGTAGTTGTAAGGATGTTGACTTGGGAAACAATGAGAACATTGAATTAGGACACATTGAGAATGATGACAAAGGAAGTAGTTGTAAGGATGTTGACTCAGGAAGTAGTTTTAAGGATGTTGACTCAGGGAGTAGTTGTAAGGATGTTGACACAGGAAGTAGTTATAAGGATGTTGACTCAGGAAGTAGTTGTAAGGATGTTGACTCTGGGAGTAGTTGTAAGGATGTTGACACAGGAAGTATTTGTAAGGATGTTGACTCAGGAAGTAGTTGTAGATATGTTGACTCAGGAAGTAGTTGTAGAGATGTTGAATCAGGAAGCAATGAGAACATCCACTTAAGACACATTGAGCATGATGACACAGGAAGTAGTTGTAAGGATGTTGACTCAGGAAGTAGTTGTAGAGATGTTGACTCAGGAAGTAGTTGTAGAGATGTTGAATCAGGAAGCAATGAGAACATCCACTTAAGACACATTGAGCATGATGACACAGGAAGTAGTTGTAGAGATGTTGACTCAGGAAGTAGTTGTAAGGATGTTGACACAGGAAGTAGTTGTAAGGATGTTGACTCAGGAAGTAGTTGTAAAGATGATGACACAGGAAGTAGTTGTAAGGATGTTGACACAGGAAGTAGTTGTAAGGATGTTGACTCAGGAAGTAGTTGTAAAGATGATGACACAGGAAGTAGTTGTAAGGATGTTGACACAGGAAGTAGTTGTAAGGATGTTGACTCGGGAAACAATGAGAACATTGAATTAGGACACATTGAGCATGATGACACAGGAAGTAGTTGTAAGGATGTTGACACAGGAAGTATTTGTAAGGATGTTGACTCGGGAAGTAGTTTTAGAGATGTTGACTCAGGAAGTAGTTGTAGAGATGTTGACTCAGGAAGTAGTTGTAGAGATGTTGACTCAGGAAGTAGTTGTAGAGATTTTGAATCAGGAAGCAATGAGAACATCAACTTAGGAAACATTGAGATTGATGACACAGGAAGTAGTTGTAAGGATGTTGACTCAGGAAGTAGTTGTAAGGATGTTGACTCAGGAAGTAGTTGTAGAGATGTTGACTCAGGAAGTAGTTGTAAGGATGTTAACTCGGGAAACAATGAGAACATTGAATTAGGACACATTGAGCAATATCACACAGGAAGCAGTTGTAAGAATGTCTGCTCAGGAAGTAGTTTTAAGGATGTTGACTCAGGAAGTAGTTGTAGAGATGTTGACTCAGGAAGTAGTTGTAGAGATTTTGAATCAGGAAACAATGAGAACATCAACTTAGGACACATTGAGCATGATGACACAGGAAGTAGTTGTAGAGATGATGACACAGGAAGTAGTTGTAGAGATGATGACACAGGAAGTAGTTGTAGAGATGATGACACAGGAAGTAGTTGTAGAGATGATGACACAGGAAGTAGTTGTAGAGATGTTGACTCAGGAAGCAATGATCATGTTTACTCAGGAAATAGTTGTAAGGATGTTGACACAGGAAGTAGTTGTAAGGATGTTGACACAGCAAGTAGTTGTAGAGGTGTTGACTCAGGAAGGAGATATAAGAATGTTTACACAGGAAGTAATTGTAAAGATGTTGACTCAGGAAGTAGTTGTAAGAATGTTGACTCAGGAAGTAGTTGTAAGAATGTTGACCCAGGAAGCAATGATCATGTTGACTCAGGAAGAAGTTCTAATGATTCAGAAAACACTGAGAACATTGATAAGTCCAAACATTTTGACCCACCTGTCATAGATGAAGCTAGAAAAACTACAGCAGATGATACAAATGTAACAGAGAGAAATGGGGCACTCAGTGCTGATATCATTGATGTTGAAATGATTGATGAAAGTTTGCATTTTAAAAATGTGGAGACATGCGGGGCAACCAAAGGCTGCCCTGTGTTGTGTTTACAAGGAAGTCCTGAGCACACTTCTGACAGACGGGCTTTGAAAAAACGGTCTACAGCCAGTAGGACAATAGTGGAGCATCAGGATGGGATGATTGAGACTCCTACATCAGCTTCACCACCAGGTGTGAAATTAAAACTCTGCCATTGGAAAAGGCTCAAGTTAACCAATGCTGAATTGCCTATCCGACCTGTGGTGATCCCCTCCAGGGTTCATGAGCCACCTCTCTCACTCAATTCTCTGGTTGAAAAATTGTTTAAACCCCAACATTCAGTAGACCGCTTTTCCACTTTAGCATCAATTATAAAACCAACTAAACCAAGTGCTCATTCTAACTATACTGTCTCCAATCCTGACCATTCAGTTCCCTGTGGTACCAGCACCCATTTGGTACCTGTTAATGTTGAGACTGATATCACACCTTGTGATGTTGTCAATGATGTTGACACTAGTTATATAGACACTGATGTCACACCTTGTGATGTTGTCAATGATGTTGACACTTGTTATATAGACACTGATGTCACACCTTGTGATGTTGTCACTTGTTATATAGACACTGATGTCACACCTTGTGATGTTGTCAATGATGTTGACACTTGTTATATAGACACTGATGTCACACCTTGTGATGTTGTCAATGATGTTGACACTTGTTATATAGACACTGATGTCACACCTTGTGATGTTGTCAATGATGTTGACACTTGTTATATAGACACTGATGTCACACCTTGTGATGTTGTCAATGATGTCACAGCTGATGTTATCACTGATGTTGACACTGTGATAGAACCTTGTGTTGATTCAGATATTGAGGGTTCTCTTCACCTACACTACAGTTCTGATGATGATTCAGATGGTTTGGAGATGGACACAGTTTAAGCTGGTGGTGACTGTAAGAGATAGACACAGTTTAAGCTGGTGGTGACTGTAAGAGATAGACACAGTTTAAGCTGGTGGTGACTGTAAGAGATAGACAGTGTAATTTTGTTGAGCTGATGGTGATTTTCTTGTTGTACTACCCTGTAAATATGTTTTTTACAACAATTGGAATATTTTATTTTTCTGTGTCAGTACACAGTCTAAACAATTTATTTCAGTTTCTTTCTTATTTTTATATCATAAAATAAATTGACAAACCTTAAGTGACCTACAACAATTATCCCAAATTCATTTTACTTTGACAAGTAGTTGTGTTCTTACTTTGTAATCCATAGGAATGGCCATAATGCCATTTTAAAAATGTGTAGGCTAAAAATTGGTTGATCAAGATTAAACCATTTCTTTGTTAGGGGTTTATGTTTGTTTTAAAATGTATTAAACAAAGCTGTACCACTAGTGTCTTGGCTTCAGTGCTTATATTATACAAAATTGGCAGGGTTTCTTTCAGGAATTTTTCTTTCTATATATTTTAATTTAATACTGACTTAATGCTTGAAACAAAAGTTATTGGTTACTTGATTGAATACATAACAGTCCACTCCTCCCACACAAACCTGTACCAGAGTTCTGTCATCTGTGCCATTCTGGTAGCCCACACATTTTTTTCTATTTCAAATGAAATAACCTTGAAATCAAACTTCCTTCAAAGTTACACCTGTAAATAAAGTGGGAGTGATCTCCCCTAGACTTTCTCTAATATTCTTATGCAACAATACAGGTGATGGCAACTCTAGATATAAACATGATTTTTAATAACAAACCTAAAATAGAATAAAATGTCGTAGAAAAAAGAATTGCGCACCAAGTAAACGGCAAACAATGAGTATAAATATAATCATTCGTAATATTTATACTTTATTCATATGAGTTTTTTTTAAATAATTTGAAATATCGTAGATTACTACTCATAAATTTGAAAGAGGGCAATTAGATCTTTTACTTGTATGTGAAATTTCGACGGTACTCAGGTAACAGGCTTTTGAAAACTAAAAGTAGAATAAGTCCCACTTCCAGTTGTTGGAGATTGCTTGATGATACAGAACTACAAATTTGATATAATAATAGCTTAATATACGAGCCAAAATTATCTGCCCCTAAGTAATATCCCTCACTAAACCTGATTCTACAATTGTAAACATTTAGCGTGAACCACAGCTCACCAATTGGACTGAGTGGTCTAGATCTCGAATCCGGGTTCAAGTCAGTAGACCGTCGCTAAGTCCACCCAACTCTGATGGGTAGGCCTACCTAACTCACCTTAGGGAAAGTAAAAGTGGCTGGGCATAGTGCTGACCACACTATCTCTTCATATACCTAGGTCACAGAAACAAGTGAACTACTTCACTTGCCCCATAGACCGTCAGGGGAACTTTACTTACAGCTCACCAGACCATGTGGGGGTGGTAGGGATATGCTTAGAGAGGGGGCTGCTTAGGCGCGCTTACAGCTTAGTGTTTTCTAGGGTATCTATGAAATTTCAACCTCGTTGGAAATGTACTCAAGTTATTGTGTTCAGATACACACAAAGCCCAATTTTTCCTACTCGATTATGCATAAATTGCTGACAATTGGTAAGGGGGTCGTCCATAAATGACGTCACACTCGTGGGGGGGGGGGGGTCCGTAACTGTGTGCTGAGGGGGTTCAGATGGTGCATTATAAAAAAGCAATGTTAGAAAACGAATTTTAGACATTTTGCGTTTTAGAAAACTTTTAATAAAAATGTATTAACAATTGATTAAAATACTCTATTTTGACAGAGTTCAGACAAGCTTTTGGAAAAATATAGCTGTTTAAAAAAAATTCAACTGCAATTTTGAGGGGGGGGGGGGGGGCGGGAAGGTCTGGCTTTTTGTGACAATGTGAGAGGGAGGGGGAGGTAAAAATCGTCCAAAAAAAGCGTGACGTCATTTATGGATGACCCCTGAGTCTGTATTTATAATTTTTGATTAAAATAAGTCCCCTATATGATGAAAAATGTCAACATTTCAGGTGATTTTTGTGCACGATAACAAATACTTCCTCTATACTCTGTATACGAGAAAGTAAAAACTAAGTATAAATGCTGAATTTTAACATGTACATCAATATGACAACAAAACATAATAAAACTGTCAGTAAAATCAAAAATGTATTAGGTTATGTATGTTAATATATAAATAGTTATGTGCATGAATAAGAAGACAGAAATTAAAACAATCCAAAACCAGTCTTACTCACAGGCAAACATGACTATTTATTCTAAAAATATAGAACACAAATGTAGCAAGTTTATTGTCTGGTTTCTAGATGTCAAGTCACATAGCTGATCCACATCAACTAGCTAACCAAATGAGATGACGCTGGCCTTCCAATGGGGTAGAAAAATTAAGCATTTACACAAGGGCCAACTTGGCAGCAAATTACCAGATGATGGGAGGGGGGGGGGGGGGGGGGGGTGGGGTGTTGAAGGCAACTTGTTACTAACGGTAAACAAAAGTTTACTTATAAATCTAGCAGTGAATTGTAACCACAATCAGAACTAATCAGCCTCACAGAACATTTCAGTACTGAGAGAAATTATTGCGCATAAACTCATTTTACAAGAGTGAGAGATAGTATCCACTTGAATAACAATAAACTTAACACAATTTTGACCTAATGATAGCTCAAATGAAGAGTGAAATACTTCTCACACGAATCAGTGTTACAAACTTTTTGATTGCGTAAATCCAAACTAAAAAGGGAACCGCGTAAATGATAAACAAGTCTCTTGAGTAAGGTCACTGATGTTACCAGATCTGGTCAGAGTACTGGCCATCCATTGCAAGAAACAAAACATTCAAGACACCCATTGAGAAAAAAGAAACAAAACAAACATTCGAGTCACCCATTGAGAAAAAACAAGTTAATGACAAAACTGTCAAGATGCAGGACAAGATCAGCACAACCACAGCGACCTAACAAACCATCTGCTGTGCTGTCCTATACTGCACACAGTCCTTTGCTTGCTGTGTGTCATGAGCTCTACATTACACTATATTACACTGTCTGGTCAAACTATTTTTTAGGTACAGATGAGAGGTCCATAGCTGCATCATAGAGCTGTGACAGCTCCATTAGATGCATCTGTTTGTTGCCTGTAGCAGCCGCAGCTGATGAGAACCTGCCTGCATACCTGCAAGACAAAAACAACACATTTCAAGCTTGTATACATGAAGAACCTGGTGTCTTTCTGCCTAGTTACAAGCAAACCATAACATTCTCCCAAGGAATGTCTTACCAGCAAGAGAGGTACTGTATATTCATTTACTAAAAGTAACCAAAGCTCACTTTGATTTCATGGACAATATTTGTCAATTTGTTTTAAATAATTATAGCCAGTCTATTATTTTAAGAGTAGTGCCCCTTTTCTTATGATGAGGTGAGCCCCTATGTGCTAGAAGTATATAGTTGAGTTAACTAACAGGAGCTACTCCAATTTTCACAACACACATTTTTTAAAATGTTGCCAGCATCATTTCACAATTTGTAAGCAATCATTAATGGGTCCAAATTCAGTTACAAAAATGGGTGAACCACCAGATATACAATATTCTGTTGAAATTTTTAATTATGACCATGGGTGGTAACCCAGAACTGAAGAGGAGGTATGGTAAAACCAGAACTTGTAGTAAAGAGCATGAGCTTACTCAATCTTTCTGTAAACTCCTTGTTTTCTGAGGACTGTCTTGATGCGAGGTCTGATGTAGCTCCAAGCTCCAGCATTCTTGTGCTCCTCCTGGGCCCAGCACACCTTAGACTTGGGGTATTTCTCCAGCTCGGCCTTCACCAAGTCAAAGGGGAAGGGGGTCAGCTGTAATAAAACACTTCATAATAACAAACTCTAGTGGGTCAAGTGCACTACTGGATATAACAAACTCTAGTGGATCAAGTGCACTACTGTGATATAACAAACTCTAGTGGATCAAGTGCACTACTGTGATATAACAAACTCTAGTGGATCAAGTGCACTACTGGATATAACAAACTCTAGTGGATCAAGTGCACTGCTGTGATATAACAAACTCTAGTGGATCAAGTGCACTACTGTGATATAACAAACTCTAGTGGATCAAGTGCACTGCTGTGATATAACAAACTCTAGTGGGTCAAGTGCACTGCTGTGATATACCATTCAGAATGCCTTTTCAAAATTCATTTTCTTCAAATAAAATACATTTTTTAAAAGTGGAAATTACATAAAGTTAGAACCCACCTCATAGACATAACTCACCTGTACCACATGACAGACAGCAGACATTACTCACCTGTACCACATGACAGACAGCAGACATTACTCACCTGTACCACATGACAGACAGCAGACATAACTCACCTGTTCTACACGACAGATAGCTATCTCATCCTGTAGATTTCTTGTTTCCCTTTCCTTCACAAGCTCATAATAAATTTTTCCTGAGCAAAAGATGAGTTTCTTGACCCCCTCATGATGCTGGCCAGCTCGTCCTGTGTCAGGAATCAGACGCTGGAACCTGGTGCCTTCAATCATCTCATCAAAGCTGGAGCGAGCTTCAGGCAAACGGAGCAGAGACTTTGGTGTGCACACTACCAGCTGTGGGGACAAACATTTGGGTAGAAACAAATCTATTCATTCTTGACAAACATTTGGGTATAAACAAATCTATTCATTCTTGACAAACATTTGGGTATAAACAAATCTATTCATTCTTGATAAACATTTGGGTATAAACAAACCTATTCATTCTTGACAAACATTTGGGTATAAACAAATCTATTCATTCTTGACAAACATTTGGGTATAAACAAACCTATTCATTCTTGACAAACATTTGGGTAGAAACAAATCTATTCATTCTTGACAAACATTTGGGTATAAACAAATCTATTCATTCTTGACAAACATTTGGGTAGAAACAAATCTATTCATTCTTGACAAACATTTGGGTATAAACAAATCTATTCATTCTTGACAAACGTAACATTTTGAATGTAAGATCTCTTTCAAGATGACCCATCCCGAGTAGACATCCACAAAAACTTATTAAACCATTCAAAACTTAACTACCAATTTATTATTTTCAATAACATGTATTGTTAACTATTAAGGCTGGGTGCTACACCAAAGGCACTTTTGTTATTAATCAAGCAAGTTAATTGAAACTTTACCATATAACATATAGCAAAAGGTATTTTTTTTAAATGTAAAAATAACTATACTTCTTTGTGGTTGAAATGGTAATGACCGCAGTCTTGGATTTTTCTTCATCATTTTCAAAATACTAAGGCTCTATAACCACCAGTGTTAAACACACAAAAATGCAAGCATTATGTAGGGTAATAATACTAATAGCATTAAAATTTCTATGCAAACAACGCTTTTCCAATTTTCTTTTCACTTAACCCATTAAAAACGCTTAAATTTGCCCAAAATTAGCAAATTTCAGCCTATAAAATAAAAATTACAACAGGTTTCATGAAAAATTAACAAAGAAGCTATGTGTATAAATTTGAAGAATAATCAGATACAATGTGATGTCATTAAGATACAAGCAAAAGTAACACAGGAGTAGCAATTTGACAGAAAAAAATGAATACATTTAAAAAATTAGGTCATAACTGAAATTTGATATAGTAAACCAAGTGCTGCACCCAGCCTTAACTGTTAAATGGATTAAATATTTTCAGTCATCTTTTTTATTAGGCTTGAATATTACCAGTAGAATCTAGTTATACTTGTAGTGAGAAAAATTAGACATAACTCATCCAAAATTAAACGTTATTTATTTTCCATACTACTTCAATTATGAAACTAAAAACTCATGCAAAGTATTAAAATTGTGAGTGAAGGTGTGTGTGTGTGTGTGGGGGGGGGGGGGGGGGGGGGGGGGGGAGTATTGCAAAAGCTATTATTATTTGTATTCTTTGATGTATTTTAATAATTTATATTAGTATTTGTAACAATAAATCGTTAGGCCTTCTAAGGTTCATGACCTCTATTTCCGTTTGCTTTATCGTTTGCTTACCTTTAATTGTCCTTTTTTTTAATTAGGGCTCATCCATAAGGGAGACTTAAAGGAAATGTGAGGCATGGGTGATGATGGTTTTAGACAGTGCCACGACATGCTTTAGCAATAATTTTAAAAATTAAAGAAAAGTGGCTTCTTCAACCCCCCCCCCCCCCCCCCCCCCCCCCCCCCCCCCCCCCCCCCCCAAGTTGATTTTTTTTAAGACTCAAACCTACCTAATATCAAACCTACGTTTACAATGCGTCATACAATAGACTTTGTAAATATCAGATAATGCTAAGCTTGCCACTAAACTGCAAGTGTCATCTCTGAACACTGGCTTTCTGAAGGACAGGGTAATTTGTCTACATACAGGCTTTCTGAAGGACAGGGTAATTTGTCTACATACAGGCTTTCTGAAGGACAGGGTAATTTGTCTACATACAGGCTTTCTGAAGGACAGGGTAATTTGTCTACATACAGGCTTTCTGAAGGACAGGGTAATTTGTCTACATACAGGCTTTCTGAAGGACAGGGTAATTTGTCTACATACAGGCTTTCTGAAGGACAGGGTAATTTGTCTACATACAGGCTTTCTGAAGGACAGGGTAATTTGTCTACATACAGGCTTTCTGAAGGACAGGGTAATTTGTCTACATACAGGCTTTCTGAAGGACAAGGCAATTTGTCTCCTCATGGCATGAAAGAAGTTTGCTGGTGTTGTAAAGTTGCCCACAATCCAGTTGGAATCATGAAGCTGTTGAATCTCAAAGTTGGGACCTTCAGGCTGGGGAAATAAACAAATACTCAAGTCGAAACTTAGTATCTTTTTCTACAACTTTCATTATTCTTCTTCATTCTTATTTGTAATGTTGGAAGGGATTTCCTCCAACACAGTTAAGTATTACATTATGCTCTATATAGGATATTGACTCAGATTTCAGCCTTTTTTTGGATTTGATTCCATAGCCTTTGTCCATATAAGAACAAAATACAAGGGAGCAGTTGTTTGATTTTGGAGTTCTTTTCTAGATGGGCTTCTGTATTCAGCTATTGAGCCTCATCTGCCCAGGGATCAAACTAGGGACGTTTTGGTTTAGCAATGAGTTTGAATCCAATTTCAAGTCAGTAGACCATCCCTTAGTCCATCCAGTCCACGTGGCTGGGCATATTGCTGACCACACTATCCCTTCATATGCCGAGGTCACAGAAATAGGTGAACTCTACTTCACTTGCCCCATAGACCATTGGGTTTGGAAGAAGAACCTTACTTTTTTAACAATGAGCTTTACTGATCTGACCATGCCACCCCAACTTTATCCCAGTTTGTAAGTTTTTGATATCCCATCAAATGAAATTGTAGGGAAATATCCCATTTGAAAAGCTTTACACGCAACAGTTTTGTCAGAGTTGACAAAATGGCATGAAATGACTTACAGGGAAGTAGTCTGGATCATCATTACTTAGCTGCAGGAATCTTTCCAGTCTGGCGCTTGAGTGTTCTGGACCCTAGAGAAAAAAAGATATCCCATCATTGCTATTAAAGTTTATTACAAATGTGCTTAGGTTGGTAGCTTTATTTTGTATATCACAAACTCATAATAAAAAAATATTTAAATTTAATATTAAAATAACTGTTCAAGTAGATTAAAATTAATAATTTAACCTATTTATAATAACAAATCATCATACAGATAGAAACTACGGTAAAAAAAGTTACAAAAATTGTAAGTATTAAAAGCATTTTTTTCTATACTAGATATAATACCATTGTAACATTTAAATGATTTTTAAAGCTCATTGTAAATTAAGACAGAATGTTTCTGCCAATAGGCTTATCACACAGAGCGTTTTAAAATTAGAACTGACAAAATGATATTTGATCCATCCAAAAAGAACAGAGCCAAATTATCCAAACATAAGTTACCTATTTTACCTAGTGCCAACCCGTCAAGGAATCACGGTGGCTTAATAAAAAATTGTATATCTTAGCAGCCATAAAAAAAAATGAAATCTGTTAAATAGCGATTTTTCATCCCCACCCTATATTAGTTTGTCCCCTATGATTATAAACTTCATTATTGTTCAATATGACTTAAACAATTAAAAACTACATTTACTTACCTTTAATTTGCTACCAATTATATTTATCTAATTTAATCAGTAGTCTAGAAAATGATTTGTGAAAAAAACGCGTTTGTTTTTAAATGGCTACGATGATATGGCTGATTTTCAGTGAAACGTTGGGTTAGTTTTTTAAGGAGTGTTGTTGTGAAGCGACTGACTGTTCACTGCTGTTCAGTCTGCTAGATTTCTCCCCATTCAAATACACAGGCTAAATGGGCGGGCTTAGTTAGCTGTTGTCTCGATCAAGTTATTTTTAATAGGTTTTGTTTTAACCCTGCATGACTTTTAAAACATTAATGACAGTTTAATAGAAAGCAAGTTATAATTTTTTATAGTTTAGAATATATTTTCAGCATGTTTAGAACAATAATAAATAAAGCATTTCATGTTTTGCTTTTTTTTTTAGGTTCTGCTTGATATTCTCAGTTAGACCAAAAAAATGTACAAATGGCAAGTTTGCATCAAACACAAATCATCCATTGTTAAAACTAGACCAGTATCGTTAAATAAAATGCAAAAATAAGGATTTTAAGTATATTTCTGAAATGACATGAAACATTTTTTTTTAAAAATGGAATCACGGTATTGTTGTTTTCGGCAGCCATCATTATTGTGATGACGGTAAAAAAAGGTGGTCAAGCGACAGGTAAATGATATCAATAACAGCCAGACCAACTATTTAGGCCCCTCCCCAAAAAAATAGTTTTTTTCCCCATGTGCCAGCATGCCGTGGAGAGGTCAAAGTAAACCAGTAAAAACCAGCGTTTGTTTTAAAGACAAAATATCTCTTGCTGTTTTATATAAGGTAGGTATACATTGGTAAACTTACCATGCCTTCAAAGCCATGAGGAAGGAGAAGGACAATGCCAGACTGTCTGACCCACTTAGCTTGACCACTTGAAATGAACTGGTCAATGATGCACTGGGCAGTGTTGGCAAAGTCCCCAAACTGGGCCTCCCAAATGACAAGCGCATTGGGGTTGGTTATGGAGTAACCCACTTCAAACCCTGCAAAAATAAATTAGGGATGGCTAAAGAAAAACCTTTAAACGCCAGAGAAAGAGAATAGGTCCTACCTAGTACACCAGAGAGAGGACAGTCCTACCTAGTACACCAGAGAGAGAAGACAGTCCTACCTAGTACACCAGAGAGAGAGGACAGTCCTACCTAGTACACCAGAGAGAGGACAGTCCTACCTAGTACACCAGAGAGAGAGAGGACAGTCCTACCTAGTACACCAGAGAGAGGACAGTCCTACCTAGTACACCATAGAGAGGACAGTCCTACCTAGTACACCAGAGAGAGAAGACAGTCCTACCTAGTACACCATAGAGAGAGGACAGTCCTACCTAGTACACCAGAGAGAGAGGACAGTCCTACCTAGTACACCATAGAGAGAGGACAGTCCTACCTAGTACACCAGAGAGAGAAGACAGTCCTACCTAGTACACCATAGAGAGAGGACAGTCCTACCTAGTACACCAGAGAGAGGACAGTCCTACCTAGTACACCAGAGAGAGGACAGTCCTACCTAGTACACCATAGAGAGAGGACAGTCCTACCTAGTACACCATAGAGAGAGGACAGACCTACCTAGTACACCAGAGAGAGGACAGTCCTACCTAGTACACCATAGAGAGAGGACAGTCCTACCTAGTACACCATAGAGAGAGGACAGTCCTACCTAGTACACCAGAGAGAGAGGACAGTCCTACCTAGTACACCATAGAGAGGACAGTCCTACCTAGTACACCAGAGAGAGAGGACAGACCTACCTAGTACACCAGAGAGAGGACAGTCCTACCTAGTACACCAGAGAGAGAGGACAGTCCTACCTAGTACACCATAGAGAGAGGACAGTCCTACCTAGTACACCAGAGAGAGAGGACAGTCCTACCTAGTACACCATAGAGAGAGGACAGTCCTACCTAGTACACCATAGAGAGGACAGTCCTACCTAGTACACCAGAGAGAGGACAGTCGTACCTAGTACACCATAGAGAGAGGACAGTCGTACCTAGTACACCATAGAGAGAGGACAGTCCTACCTAGTACACCATAGAGAGAGGACAGTCCTACCTAGTACACCATAGAGAGAGGACAGTCCTACCTAGTACACCATAGAGAGAGGACAGTCCTACCTAGTACACCATAGAGAGAGGACAGTCCTACCTAGTACACCATAGAGAGGACAGTCCTACCTTACACCATAGAGAGAGGACAGTCCTACCTAGTACACCAGAGAGAGGACAGTCGTACCTAGTACACCATAGAGAGAGGACAGTCCTACCTAGTACACCAGAGAGAGAGGACAGTCCTACCTAGTACACCATAGAGAGAGGACAGTCCTACCTAGTACACCAGAGAGAGAGGACAGTCCTACCTAGTACACCATAGAGAGGACAGTCCTACCTAGTACACCATAGAGAGAGGACAGTCCTACCTAGTACACCATAGAGAGAGGACAGTCCTACCTAGTACACCATAGAGAGAGGACAGTCCTACCTAGTACACCATAGAGAGAGGACAGTCCTACCTAGTACACCATAGAGAGAGTACAGTCCTACCTAGTACACCAGAGAGAGAGGACAGTCCTACCTAGTACACCATAGAGAGGACAGTCCTACCTAGTACACCATAGAGAGGACAGTCCTACCTAGTACACCATACTCTGAGAGTGAACTGTTGCAGACGGTGTAGGGGGCCTGGTCTGGATACAACTTGTTCAATGGGACTATTGTCTTCTTGTCAATGGTCTGGTGATGCAGCACATGGTGACGATGGCTGCAAGTTCAAAACAAACATTTTTACAAGGGGCCCATCATTTTTCTTTTAATTTAAAACAAACATTTTTACAAGTACCCAACATTTTTCTTTTAATTTAAAACAAACATTTTTACAAGGGGCCCAACATTTTTCTTACAATTCAAAACAAACATTTTTACAGGACCCAACATTTTTCTTTCAATTCAAAACAAACATTTTTACAAGTACCCAACATTTTTCTTTTAATTTAAAACAAACATTTTAACAAGGGGCCCATCATTTTTATTTTAATTTAAAACAAACATTTTAACAAGGGGCCCATCATTTTTCTTTTAAATTAAAACCAACATTTTAACAAGGGGGTCCATCATTTTTCTTTTAATTTAAAACCAACATTTTTACAAGGGACCCAACATTTTTTTTTCATGACTTCAAAGCTGGTGCAGTCAAGAAATAGATCATTGGACACACAAATATGATTTAACTACTAAAACTGGAAATCAGTTCCAGAACAGGGCTGCCTACCCTAACAATTTTTTTAGCAACAAGCCTGGATTTTCCACACTAGTTGAAAACTGTATTAACTTTTAGTAATTTCACATCTATATATATAATTCTCTTCTGGGAGACGCTAGAAAACAAGCTGTAAACGCGCGCCCTACCAGCCCCACCCCTACATGGTCAGGTGAGCTGTGTTCACTCTAAATGTTTACAAACAATCGGGTTTAGTGACGACTATTAGGGGTAGATACTTTAGTTTGAAACGATTTTAAACGTGGGGGGAGGGGGTTATCGTCCTTAACGAGCTGAGCTACTTATAGTGTTTTAAAGAAATATTTTCAGTGGCAGCGTTGGTAGTGTCGAATTCACAAATTATGAATAACTGAAAAGTAGAAAAAACAACTAAATAGCGGCGTATGATATGCCGCGGGTCGGCTCGTTTATTTTAAAATACAAGGTAAATAAGTCTTATGTTAGATGATCACAAAACAGAATAATCATGAAATAGGCAATGTTACTCAAACTCAGATTTATTTCAAAGAAATAGACTAATTACAATTTGAATCTAGATTTAGCTAGATCCTCGTTAGGAAACAAAAGAGCATTGCTTGCGAACATAGAACCAAATTCCAACTCAAGTTTGAACTGGCTAAATATTAAACTCAGACCGGGAAGCAAAAGTTACTACAGGAAAAAATTTGACGCACTATGACCCCACGATAGTTAAAAAAAAAAACGCTATACACTAAAGACACGATGGGCAACAATTATTGCAGACTATATCAAAGTAGGCACGTGCTCAGGTGCCCCTGCAGGGTGAGATTTGGCGCCCTGGACTTTCCAGTGAGCACCATGGCGCCATCATTCATTTTAAACAACGCGATAGGCTATGGATACAATCAGTCTCTCACTAAATCGAATCAGGCGCCTACGCACTACGAGCACTACGTACCTACGTTAGTTTTTAAGGAGCACCCTACAATATTGATAATGCGGCACATGACACTAGATGATTAAACCAAGCTAGGGACCGTACGCGGCACCCCTGCAGTAGTTAATCAGGTTCACAAGATGGACACTTCCTATCCCCGATACTTAGGTGATGAGTGATTAACTTACACTCAAGGCTTTCATACAGCATGATGGGGGGTAGTGTGGGTAAACATTGCCCCGATAAATATGATCCAAGCACAGGCATTGTTTACATTAAAATTACTCAGTTTTAGAAAACAAGGAAGTGCATTGAAATAGGGAGTAACTAAATATTCTAATAGAATAGGGAGTGTTTATTGTTTATTATTATATGATTCATTACTTTATTAGTTCTAAAAAAAAATAATTATTAATATTTGTGCATGGAGCTGAAGAGCTGCATCCTGACATCAAAAGAGAAGCATGAGGCATGAGGTTGCCGACCCCTGATCTAAAGGACTCAATGGAAATGGATGTACATACTTGAGTAGCATTGAGGAAGCAGCACATAAGAACAAATTGTGTGTACTTCAATGCTGTTTGTCCCTATGCCTAGAGCTATTTTATTATTTAAAAGCCTGCCTATAAACAAGCAGCAAACAATGCAGATCTGACCTGAATGTGCCGCGCTCCACATCCTGACCACTTAGTCGCACATGAATCCCTTCTTTCAGGAGGGAACCAAAGGCTAGGGCCTCACCCAGAGCCCAGTCAGCCTGCCGGTTCTCCACCATATCCGCACGCGCCTTCAGCACTCTCTTCAGGCCTAAAATACACAAGTTTCTTCTTCAACCATAGACTGAGATGGGAAGAATAGGACTAGTTACAAGTTTCTTCTTGAACCATGTCAATGTCACTGGCAGCTAAGATGTCAATGTCACTGAGTAAGATGTCAATGTCACTGGCAGCTAAGATGTCAATGTCACTGGCAGCTAAGATGTCAATGTCACTGGCAACTAAGATGTCAATGTCACTGAGTAAGATGTCAATGTCACTGGCAGCTAAGATGTCAATGTCACTGGCAGCTAAGATGTCAATGTCACTGGCAGCTAAGATGTCAATGTCACTGGGTATGATGTCAATGTCAATGGCACTGGGAGCTAAGATATCAATATCACTGGGTAAGATGTCAATGTCAGCTAAGATGTCAATGTCACTGGGTAAGATGTCAATGTCACTGGGAGCTAAGGTGTCAATGTCACTGGGAGCTAAGATGTCAATGTCACTTGGAGCTAAGGTGTCAATGTCACTGGGAGCTAAGGTGTCAATGTCACTGGGTAAGATGTCAATGTCACTGGGAGCTAAGGTGTCAATGTCACTGGGAGCTAAGGTGTCAATGTCACTGGGAGCTAAGATGTGAATGTCACTGGGAGCTAAGATGTGAATGTCACTGGGAGCTAAGGTGTCAATGTCACTGGGAGCTAAGATGTCAATGTCACTTGGAGCTAAGGTGTCAATGTCACTGGGAGCTAAGATGTGAATGTCACTGGGAGCTAAGATGTGAATGTCACTGGGAGCTAAGATGTGAATGTCACTGGGAGCTAAGATGTGAATGTCACTGGGTAAGATGTCAATGTCACTGGGAGCTAAGGTGTCAATGTCACTGGGAGCTAAGATGTCAATGTCACTGGGAGCTAAGGTGTGAATGTCACTGGGAGCTAAGATGTGAATGTCACAGTGAGCTAAGATGTGAATGTGACTAACCCCCATGTATAACAAAGTCCTCTGGTGGGGTACTGAACACAGTGCCAATGTGTTTCAAACATTCTTCAGACACTCCAGTTGTGGGCAGCATCATGGGGTCACGACCTTCAAAAAATCCACTCCATGGGGAGTCGAGCCAGTCAATATTGCTGACAGCTGTTTCCTTCTTGGCCAGGGAGTAAGCTTCTTCACAGATCTTGTCATACTTGGAGATTTCCTCCTGCACAATCAGACACACTTGCTTTTACATACACCATATCTATAGCCCACCATACATTGACAGGTAGATTCAGACACTTTTACATACACCATATCTATAGCCCACCATACACAGACAGGTAGATTCAGACAGACTTTTAGCTACACCATATCTATAGCCCACCATACATTGACAGGTAGATTCAGACAGACTTTTACATACACCATATCTATAGCCCACCATACACTGACAGGTAGATTCAGACAGACTTTTACATACACCATATCTATAGCCCACCATACATTGACAGGTAGATTCAGACAGACTTTTACATACACCATATCTATAGCCCACCATACATTGACAGGTAGATTCAGACAGACTTTTACATACCCCATATCTATAGCCCACCATAAATTGACAGGTAGATTCAGGCAGACTTTTACCTACACCATATCTATAGCCCACCATACATTGACAGGTAGATTCAGGCAGACTTTTACATACACCATATCTATAGCCCACCATACATTGACAGGTAGATTCAGGCAGACTTTTAGCTACAACCATATCTATATCCCACCATACATTGACAGGTAGATTCAGGCAGACTTTTAGCTACACCATATCTATAGCCCACCATACATTGACAGGTAGATTCATACAGACTTTTACATACACCATATCTATAGCCCACCATACATTGACAGGTAGATTCAGGCAGACTTGCTTTTACATACACCATATCTATAGCCCACCATACATTGACAGGTAGATTCAGAGACTTTTACATAAACCATATCTATAGCCCACCATACATTGACAGGTAGATTCAGACAGACTTTTAGCTGCACCATATCTATAGCCCACCATACATTGACAGGTAGATTCATACACTTTTACATACACCATATCTATAGCCCACCATACATTGACAGGTAGATTCAGAGACTTTTACATACACCATATCTATAGCCCACCATACATTGACTGGTAGATTCAGGCAGACTTGCTTTTACATACACCATATCTAAAGCCCACCATACATTGACAGGTAGATTCAGAGACTTTTACATACACCATATCTATAGCCCACCATACATTGACAGGTAGATTCAGGCAGACTTGCTTTTACATACACCATATCTATAGCCCACCATACATTGACAGGTAGATTCAGACACTTTTACATACACCGTATCTATAGCCCACCATACATTGACAGGTAGATTCAGACAGACTTTTAGCTGCACCATATCTATAGCCCACCATACATTGACAGGTAGATTCAGACACTTTTACATACACCATATCTATAGCCCACCATGCATTGACAGGTAGATTCAGAGACTTTTACATACACCATATCTATAGCCCACCATACATTGACAGGTAGATTCAGACACTTTTACATACACCATATCTATAGCCCACCATACATTGACAGGTAGATTCAGACAGACTTTTACATACACCATATCTATAGCCCACCATACACTGACAGGTAGATTCAGGCAGACTTTTAGCTACACCATATCTATAGCCCACCATACATTGACAGGTAGATTCAGACAAGACTTTTACCTACACCATATCTATAGCCCACCATACATTGACAGGTAGATTCAGAGACTTTTACATACACCATATCTATAGCCCACCATACATTGACAGGTAGATTCAGACAGACTTTTAGCTGCACCATATCTATAGCCCACCATACATTGACAGGTAGATTCAGACAGACTTTTACATACACCATATCTATAGCCCACCATACATTGACAGGTAGATTCAGAGACTTTTACATACACCATATCTATAGCCCACCATACATTGACAGGTAGATTCAGACAGACTTTTACATACCCCATATCTATAGCCCACCATACATTGACAGGTAGATTCAGGCAGACTTTTACCTACACCATATCTATAGCCCACCATACATTGACAGGTAGATTCAGGCAGACTTTTACATACACCATATCTATAGCCCACCATACATTGACAGGTAGATTCAGGCAGACTTTTAGCTACAACCATATCTATAGCCCACCATACATTGACAGGTAGATTCAGGCAGACTTTTAGCTACACCATATCTATAGCCCACCATACATTGACAGGTAGATTCATACAGACTTTTACATACACCATATCTATAGCCCACCATATATTGACAGGTAGATTCAGGCAGACTTGCTTTTACATACACCATATCTATAGCCCACCATACATTGACAGGTAGATTCAGAGACTTTTACATAAACCATATCTATAGCCCACCATACATTGACAGGTAGATTCAGACAGACTTTTAGCTGCACCATATCTATAGCCCACCATACATTGACAGGTAGATTCAGACACTTTTACATACATCATATCTATAGCCCACCATACATTGACAGGTAGATTCAGAGACTTTTACATACACCATATCTATAGCCCACCATACATTGACTGGTAGATTCAGGCAGACTTGCTTTTACATACACCATATCTATAGCCCACCATACATTGACAGGTAGATTCAGAGACTTTTACATACACCATATCTATAGCCCACCATACATTGACAGGTAGATTCAGGCAGACTTGCTTTTACATACACCATATCTATAGCCCACCATACATTGACAGGTAGATTCAGACACTTTTACATACACCATATCTATAGCCCACCATAAATTGACAGGTAGATTCAGAGACTTTTACATACACCATATCTATAGCCCACCATACATTGACAGGTAGATTCAGACACTTTTACATACACCATATCTATAGCCCACCATACATTGACAGGTAGATTCAGACAGACTTTTACCTACACCATATCTATAGCCCACCATACATTGACAGGTAGATTCAGAGACTTTTACATACACCATATCTATAGCCCACCATACATTGACAGGTAGATTCAGACAGACTTTTAGCTGCACCATATCTATAGCCCACCATACATTGACAGGTAGATTCAGGCAGACTTTTAGCTACACCATATCTATAGCCCACCATACACTGACAGGTAGATTCAGACACTTTTACATACACCATATCTATAGCCCACCATACATTGACAGGTAGATTCAGACAGACTTTTACATACCCCATATCTATAGCCCACCATACACTGACAGGTAGATTCAGGCAGACTTTTAGCTACACCATATCTATAGCCCACCATACATTGACAGGTAGATTCAGACAGACTTTTACATACACCATATCTATAGCCCACCATACATTGACAGGTAGATTCAGACACTTTTACATACACCATATCTATAGCCCACCATACATTGACAGGTAGATTCAGAGACTTTTACATACACCATATCTATAGCCCACCATACATTGACAGGTAGATTCAGACAGACTTTTAGCTGCACCATATCTATAGCCCACCATACATTGACAGGTAGATTCAGACAGACTTTTACCTACACCATATCTATAGCCCACCATGCATTGACAGGTAGATTCAGAGACTTTTACATACACCATATCTATAGCCCACCATACATTGACAGGTAGATTCAGGCAGACTTTTAGCTACACCATATCTATAGCCCACCATACATTGACAGGTAGATTCAGGCAGACTTTTACCTACACCATATCTATAGCCCACCATACATTGACAGGTAGATTCAGGCAGACTTTTAGCTACACCATATCTATAGCCCACCATACATTGACAGGTAGATTCAGAGACTTTTACATACACCATATCTATAGCCCACCATACATTGACAGGTAGATTCAGAGACTTTTACATACACCATATCTATAGCCCACCATACATTGACAGGTAGATTCAGGCAGACTTTTAGCTACACCATATCTATAGCCCACCATACATTGACAGGTAGATTCAGAGACTTTTACATACACCATATCTATAGCCCACCATACATTGACAGGTAGATTCAGACAGACTTTTAGCTGCACCATATCTATAGCCCACCATGCATTGACAGGTAGATTCAGACACTTTTACATACACCATATCTATAGCCCACCATACACAGACAGGTAGATTCAGACAGACTTTTAGCTGCACCATATCTATAGCCCACCATACATTGACAGGTAGATTCAGACACTTTTACATACACCATATCTATAGCCCACCATGCATTGACAGGTAGATTCAGAGACTTTTACATACACCATATCTATAGCCCACCATACATTGACAGGTAGATTCAGGCAGACTTTTAGCTGCACCATATCTATAGCCCACCATACATTGACAGGTAGATTCATACACTTTTACATACACCATATCTATAGCCCACCATAAATTGACAGGTAGATTCAGAGACTTTTACATACACCATATCTATAGCCCACCATACATTGACAGGTAGATTCAGACAGACTTTTAGCTGCACCATATCTATAGCCCACCATACATTGACAGGTAGATTCAGAGACTTTTACATAAACCATATCTATAGCCCACCATACATTGACAGGTAGATTCAGACAGACTTTTAGCTACACCATATCTATAGCCCACCATACATTGACAGGTAGATTCAGAGACTTTTACATAAACCATATCTATAGCCCACCATACATTGACAGGTAGATTCAGACACTTTTACATACACCATATCTATAGCCCACCATACATTGACAGGTAGATTCAGGCAGACTTTTAGCTACACCATATCTATAGCCCACCATACATTGACAGGTAGATTCAGAGACTTTTACATACACCATATCTATAGCCCACCATACATTGACAGGTAGATTCAGGCAGACTTTTAGCTACAACCATATCTATATCCCACCATACATTGACAGGTAGATTCAGGCAGACTTTTAGCTACACCATATCTATAGCCCACCATACATTGACAGGTAGATTCATACAGACTTTTACATACACCATATCTATAGCCCACCATACATTGACAGGTAGATTCAGGCAGACTTGCTTTTACATACACCATATCTATAGCCCACCATACATTGACAGGTAGATTCAGAGACTT